GATAATAGGATACAAAGAGAAAAGGAGCCCACGTGGCTAGAACCCAGAAATCGCTAAGGAAGGGAGGCTGGAGAGGCAGGCAGGGGCCAGATCATGGAGTGTCTGATGGGTCTCCTTAAGGACCTTGCACTTAATCCTAGGAGCAATGGGAAACTGCTAATGGATCATTTTAAGGTGACAGGGCTCACTTTTTTCTTTGTTTTTTAATGGAACATTTCAAATCTCCATTCTCAAAAAGAGAAACATTTTAAGTATCTCAACGTTTAGTTTTTAAAGTCACTCCAAACATACCACCTAGAAATAACCATCATTAAGAGGACACCATTCCAGTCATCTTTATAGCATGTGTTCGAATTAAATGTCAGCTGGCTGAACGGACAGCTAGACAGAAGCAGAGTTGACCCTTGAATGATATGGGGGTTAGGGGTGCCCACACAGCCAAAAATCCAAGAATAACTTAAGAGTCAGCCCTCCCTAAATGTGGCTCCTCCACGTTGGCAGACTCAACCAACAGAGGATTGTGTAGTACTACTATAGTATTAATTATTGAAAAAAAATATACCTGTAAGTGTACCTGCATAGTTCAAACCCATGTTGTTCAAGGATCAAGTGTATTCTGAAAAACGGATTACACATGCTACTTGTAAATAAAAAATTTAGGGCTTCCCAGGTGGAGCAGTGGTTGAGAGTCCGCCTGCCGATGCAGGGGACACGGGTTCGTGCCCCGGTCCGGGAAGATCCCACATGCCGCGGAGCGGCTGGGCCCGTGAGCCATGGCCGCTGAGCCAGCGCGTCCGGAGCCTGTGCTCCGCAATGGGAGAGGCCACAACAGTGAGAGGCCCGCGTACTGCAAAAAAAAAAAAAAAAAAAAATTTAACTTTGATTTTACTTGCATTTATTGTTAAGACAACGAAACTGAAGTGAAACTGAAGAAACTGCTAACTTCAAATGAATATTTCAACAGAGAAATTTCCTAAATGAGCCCCTACAGTTTAATAGATTATTAGAAGGTTAGCATCACTTTTTTTTTTTTTTAACCAAATTTCAGACAGTATTGACTCATGAGGATGTTGTCACCTCACACTTCTCCCTACCTCTCTTGCCCTGCCTTCTATTTTTTGTTAGATATGTTATTTCAACTTTGGGAGACACAGAGCACAGTGGTTACCAAAGCCTGGGCTCTGTAGCCAGAAAACCTAGGCGTCAGTCCTGGCTCCATTACTTGCTGGCAGTGTGACCTTAGACAGGTTACTTAAACTCTACAAAGCCTCAGTCTTCCTCATCTGTAAAATAAGGACAATAGTATCTACTTCATATTCTGGAAGCTTAAATGTGTCATTACAAAGAGCCTAGTACATAATAAGTGCTCAGTAAATGCTGTAGCATTTTTATGCCATAAAGGTTTATATTATTTACATTCTATTCAGTAACCCTAATTAGCCCAACATTCATTCTAAATGGGATTCTGCTCATCACCAGTCTTTTCATCAGAGCTCCTCCATTTCTGAATTATTTCTCTTGATTCACCTCCTTACTGGTTATCAGATAGCTTTTTCTAGAAAAGCGTATAGATTCTACAGCCTCTGAGTTCTTTCAGTTTTGAGAATGCATTCTTGCCACCTTTCTATTTAAACAGTATATAATTAGGTCTTGCTTTTATATCCAGCCTGATAAATCTATGCCTTTTACTGGAGTGTTTACTTAGATTTAATGCAATTCTTGATATAGCTGGGTTTAAGTCTACAACCTTATTTGTCTCCCATTTGTCCCAAATGTTTTTTGTTCCTTTTTTCCCCTTCTTACAATTCTTTTGAATTGTATATTTCTAATAGTCCATTTCATTCTCATCATTGGCTTTTTAGTAATACTTCTTTTATCAGTGGTTTACCTAGTGAAAATACTATGTATACTTAATCACAATCTACCAAGAATATTACAGTACTTCACATATAATGTAAGAACCTTACAATAGTACACTTTCATTTACCACATTTCTATCCTTTGTACTACTGCTGTCATGTTTTACTTCTAAATATATTACTTATTTGTTTGACTTCTATATAGTGTAAGCCCCATAACATAATAACTTATTTTTTTAAGTCAAGCATTTTTTTTTTTTTTTTTTTTTTTTTTTGCGGTATGCAGGCCTCTCACTGTTGTGGCCTCTCCTGTTGCGGAGCACAGGCTCCGGACGCACAGGCTCAGCGGCCATGGCTCACGGGCCCAGCCGCTCTGCGGCATGTGGGATCTTCCCGGACCGGGGCATGAACCCACGTTCCCTGAATCGGCAGGCGGACTCTCAACCACTGCGCCACCAGGGAAGCCCATAACTATTATTTTTGCTTCCGTTTTTTAAAGACATTAAGAAATGAGGAAAAAATTCTTACATTTACACGTATATTCCAGTGCGCTTTCTTCTTTTGTATGGATCCTAGTGTCCACCTTTTTATCATTTTCCTTCTACCCAAACAACTTTTCTTAACTTTTCTTGTAGTGTAGGTCTGCCAGCAACTCATTCACTCAGCTTTTGTTTATCTGAAAATGAATTTATTTCATTTCATTTATTTATTTATCTTTTTGGCTGTGCCACGCAGCTTGTGGGATTTAGTTCCCTGACTGGGGATTGAACCTAGGCCCTCGGCAGTGAGAGCGTGGAGTCCTAACCCTTGGAGTGCCAGGGAATTCCCCATATTCATTTTAAAAAATATTTTCAGGGGTGGGATAGGGAGGGTGGGAGGGAGGGAGACGCAAGAGGGAAGAGATATGGGAACATATGTATATGTATAACTGATTCACTTCGTTGTAAAGCAGAAACTAACACACCATTGTAAAGCAATTATACTCCAATAAAGATGTGAAAAAATTTTTTCAATAAAGTAGAATTCAAGTTTGACAGTTTTTTTCTTTCAGCATTAAAAGGTGTTCTTTTGTCTTCTGGCTTACATTACTTCTGATGAGAAGTCAGTGATTATTCTCACCAATGTTCCCCTCAATGTTCCCCTCAATGTGTCTTTTTCTCTGACTGCTTTTAAGATTTTCTCTTTACCTTTGGCTTTCAGCAAATGGTAATAATGTGTCTAGGTATGATTTCATTGGTTATCCTGTTTGGATTCACTAAGCTTCATGGATCTGTGGAGTGATATTTTTCATCAAATTTGGAAATTTTATACTGTTATTTCTTCAAATACTGTTTTCTGCCCCAATCTCTTCTCTTTCTGGACTCCAATATATGTTATGTTAGATTAAGGGATAGTGAACCCCACAGGTTGAGGCTCTGTGTTGTTGTTGTTTTGCTTTTTCTCTCTCAGTGCTTTAGTTTACATAACATCTTCAATCCTGTCTTCAAGTTCACCGATCTTTCAAATTCACTGATTATTTCCTTCTGATGTGTCCAATTTGCTATTAAGCCTGTCCAGTGAATTTTTCATTTCAAATACTATGTTTTTCAATTGCAGGATTTCATTTGGTTCTTTTTAATAGTTTCAATTTCTGTGATGAGATTTCCCATCTGTTCATTCATTGTGTCCATCTTTTATTTAAACCCTTTAATCAATTTATTTTCCTTGTTTAAAAATATTTGACTGCTAATTCCAACATCCCTGTCACATCTGGGTCTGTTTCTATTGACTGCTTTTTTTCTGTTTAGCAATTTTTTACTTTATGCTGGACATTGTAGATGCTACTTTGTTCACTCTGGTTTTGTTGTATTCATTTAAAGACTGTTATACTCTGGTTTCTCTTCAGGTCACATAAATCTTTCACCTTTTACTAAAGACTGTTGAGTTTTGTTCTCACAAGTAACTAACTCACTGGTGAATCAGCCTGATCCTTTTGAGGCTTGTTTCTAAGTTTTGGAACCTTTCTGTAGTCTGCATTCAATGAGGTCTCTCCACCCCGGCTGGTGGAATTCAAACAACTCCCATCACTGTGAAACCTCTGGAGTCTCTTTTCAGTTCACACCTCCCCAGTAGCTTTTCACCGCAAGGTCTCTCAGAGTCTCCTC